AAAAGAGAGACATAACCCCAGACACAGAGGAAATTCAGAAAATCATTAGATCTTACTACAAAAGCCTATATGCCATAAAATTGGAAAATATTAAAGAAACAGACACTTTTAGGATAAGTTCCATATACCAAAGTTTGACCAGACCCAGGTGAATAATCTAAATAGACCTGTTAGTCGTGAAGAAATAGAAGTTGTTATAAAAAAAAAAAAACTCCTTACCAAAAAAAGCCCAGGTCCAAATGATTTCAATGAAGAATTCTACCAGAACTTCCAAGAAGACCTAATACCTATACTCCTTAATGTATTTCACAATAAAGAAACAGAAAAGACATTGCCAAATTTCTTTTATGAAGCTACAGTTACCCTTATACTAAAACCACACAAAGACTCAACCAAAAAAAAAAAATTCAGGCCAATCTCACTCATGAACATCAACGCGAATATCCTCAATAAAATAGTGGCAAACCAAATCCAAGAACACATTAGAAAAATTATCCATTATTATCAGATAGGCTTCATCCCAGGGATACAGGTCTGGTTCACCATACGCAAATCTCTCAATGTAATCCATCATATAAATAAACTTAAAGAAAAAAAATATGACCATTTCATTAGATGCTGAAAAATTTTTGACAAAATTCAACTTCCCTTTATGATAAAGGTCTTAGAGAGATTAAGGCTACAAGGGTTATACCTAACTATAATAAAAGCCATTCATAGCAAGCCGACAGCTTACATTAAATTAAATGCAGAGAAACTTAAAACTATCCACTAAAATCAGAAGCATGACAAGGCTGTCTACTCTCTCCATACCTCTTCAATAACGTGCTTGAAGTTCTCGCAATAGTAATAAGACAACATAAGGTGATCCAAAGGATTTGAATTGGAAAGGAAGAAGTTAAACTTTCATTATTTGCAGATGATATCACAGTGTACATGAGTGAGCCTAAAAACTCCAGCAAAGAACTCCTACAGCTGATAAACACCTTTAGTAGCATGGCAGGATACAAGACCAATTCCAAAAAATAAGTTGCCCTCCTATACACAAAGGATAAGGAAGCAGAGAAGGAAATCAGAGAAGCATCCTCTTTCATGATAGCCACAAATAGCATAAAATATCTTGGGGTAACTCTAACCAAGGATCTGAAGGACCTATTTGACAAGAACTTTAAGTCTTTGAAGAAAGAAATTGAGGAGGATACCAGAAAATGGAAGGACCTCCCTTGCTCTTGGATTGGGAGGATAAACATAGTAAAAATGGCAATTCTACCAAGGGTAATTCATATATTCAATGCTATTCCAATTAAAATCCCATCGAAATTTTTCACAGATCTTGAGAGGATATTAATCAACTTTATATGAAAAACAAAGAACCCAGGATAGTCAAAACAATCTTATACAATAAAAGATCTTCTAGAGACATTACCATCCCTGACTTCAAATCTATTACAGAGCTTCAGTAATGAAAACAGCTTGGTATTGGCACAAAAACAGAGAAGTTGATCAATGGAATAGAGTATAAGGCCTGGATTTTTCCCACAAATCTATGAACATCTGATATTTGATAAAGGAGTTAAAACTATTCAATAGAAGAAAGAAAGCATCTTCAACAAATGGTGCTGGCAGATCTGGCTGTCAACCTGTAGAAGAATGAAAATAGATCTATATCTATCGCCATGGACAAAAATCAAGTCCAAATGGATTAAAGACCTCAATATCAGGCTGAACACACTGTACCTGATAGAAGGGAAAGTGGGAAGTAGTCTACAACATATGGGCACAGGAGATCACTTCCTAGGCATATCCCCAGCAGCATAGACTTTAAGGACAACATTGAATAAATGGGACTTCCTGAAACTGAGAAGCTTCTGTAAAGCAAATGACACTGTCACTAAGACAAGAAGGCAACATACTGACTGGGAGAAGATCATCACCAACCAGCAACAGACAAACGTCTGATCTCCAAAATATATAAAGAACTCAAGAAATTAGACTTTAAAAAGCTAATAAATACAATTCAAAAATGGGGCACTGAACTGAAAGGAGAATTCTCAACAAAAGAAGTTCAAATGACCAAAAGACACTTAAGGTCATGTTCATCCTCCTTGGTGATCAGGGAAATGCAAATTACAGCAAACTTGAGATATCATCTTACGCCTGTCAGAATGGCTAAAATCAAAAACACAAATGATAGCCTTTGCTGGAGAGGTTTGAAGTAAGGGGCATACTCGTTCATTGTTGGTGGGAAGGCAAAATTGTGCAACCACTTTGGAAATCTGTGTTGCGATTTCTCAGGAAATTCGGGATCAACCTACCCCAAGATTCAGTAATACCTCCCTTGGGAATATATCCAAGAGATGCCATATCATATGTCAAAAGCATTTGTTCAACTATGTTCATAGCAGCATTATTTGTAATAGCCAGAACCTTAAAACAACCTAGATGCCCTTCAATGGAAGAATGGATGAAGAAAGGGTGGAATATATACATATACTACTCAGCAGTTAAAAAAAAATGACTTCGCGAATTTTGCATGAGAATGGATGGAAATAAAAACACTATCCTGAGTGAGGTATTCCAGACCCAAAAAGATGACCATGGAATGTACTCACTCATAATTGGTTTCTAGCCATAAATAAAGGACATTGAGCATATAATTTATGATTCTAGAGAAGCTAAATAAGAAGGTGAACACCCCCCCCAAAAAAACATATAGTAATCCACCTGGATATGGGAAGTAGACAAGATTGCAGGGCAAAACCTGGGATCTTGGGGGTGAGGTGGCATGGGGCTAAGTGGAAATGGGGTGAGAAATGTGAGAGGGGTGAATGGAGTGTACATGGGGGAATGTTGATGTTTGGGATAAGGGAAGGGAGGACACAGGATCAGAGAAATTTTTATCCTAATTTAGGGAGCCATCTTAGTGTTGGCAAGAGACTTGACTCTAGAGGGGCTCACAGGTGTTCAGGGAGATGTCACCAGCTAGTACCTTTAGCAATTGAGGAGAGGGAACCTGAAATGACCTTATCCTATAGCCATACTGATGAATATCTTGCATATCTCCTTAGAACCTTCATCTGGTGATGGATCGAGATATATACAGAGACCCAAATTGGAGCACCGGACTGAGCTTAAGATCCCAAGGGTAGTTGGACAGTGACTGAAAAAGCATCGAATAAAACCGGAATCTCTGATTATGGCAGACAATGATGGCTGCTGCAAGCCAAAAGCAATGACACTGTCAATGATCCTACTTCATGTTCTTCCTTTGTGGGAGCCAAGCCAGTTTGGATGTTCACCTTCCTAGGCCAGGATGGAGGGGGGAGCACTTTGTACTTTCCACAGTGCAGGGAACCCTGACTGCTCTTCAGACTGGAGAGGGAGCAGGAGAGCAGTGATGGGAGGGGCAGAGGAGTGGGAGGAGGAGGAGGGAAATAGGAGGCTGGAAGAAGGCAGAATTTTTTTTCAATTAAAAAAAATCCAAATGAGCAGAAGGAGGGAGAACATGAGCAAGGAAGTCAGGACAATGAGGGGTGCACCCACCCACTATGACGGTGGAACTGATCTATTGGAAGCTCACCATGGCCAGCGGGACTGGGACTGAATAGCAAGGAATGAAACCAGAGTTTCTGAATCTGGCAGAGTATGAAGGCTGATGAGAAGCCAAGAACAATGGCACTAGGTTTCGATCCTAATACATGAACTGGCTTTGTGGGAGCCTAGCCTGTTTGGATGCTCACTTTCCTGGTCCTGGATAGAAGTCGGAGAACCTTGGACTTCAGGCAAGGCAGAGAATCTGGACTGCTTTTCATTCTTAAGAAGGAGGGGCAATGGAGTGGGGGGAGGGAGAGAGGGTTATGGGAGTGAGGAAAGGGAGTAATGTGTGAGGAGGGGGAGGGAAATGGGAAATGGGAAGGAGCAATAAATTTTTTTTTGCAACAAAAAAATAAAATAAACAAAAAAATGGAGAAGGACCTAGACTTGCTTGTGTTAGAGAGGAAAGTCCTTGGGTCATTGGTGTTGGTGGCAAAGTGCCTGTACTCACTGGGACATATGGAGACATTCCCAAATCACCTGGTATAGAGGACAGATTGATATGTGTGCACTGGTCAATCTTATATAGTCCCAACTATTCATGGGAAGATGCTGACTGTTGTAGTGATTGTTGGTTATATGGTGAAGAAGGTAAAGTTTCCTGAGTAGATATGTAAAGTTGGTCATATAGAAAATGTGTTAGATCTTTGGATGTTGATAAAAAAGATTCATGGGATCTGATGCCATGTTGTAAATGTCCTGTAGTTCCAGAAGGAAATCAATAAGGCCCTGTAGGCCCTTTGAAAAATGGTGATAAATCTGTGCAAATCAAGTGTCCTAGCTTATTGTGGAAAGATGGTGGTGGACCCAGAATTAATGTGGAAGATGCTCAATATTCTACAGTCCCTGATCTTGATGAGAAAGAACTCAGTGTACCTTGGAGTGACATAGAATTTTTCCAATGCCTTTGATAACACATCCAAGTTGGTTGATTCCTTAGAGTTGTTTGAAGAGGTATAAGAGCATCTGGTGAGTTCATTTAAATATCTGCCCTACCATATCTGGTAAACACTGTTCCATTGTCATTGATCATGTTCTGTGGGACTTGGGCTAAATAACTCATGAACAGTCTCACCGGCACACAGGATAAATACTTACACATGGATGCACACTGCTGTGTGATATGAACACCTAAGGTGAATGCACCGATCTCCATAGAATTACTTAACTAGGGAATCTGTGATGTTAGGTGGAGTGTGGGAAAGACACCACAAACCCATCATACCCCCAAATCCCAGTGTTATATTGATGCCTACCTCCTATCATGCAAGGATCCCGCCTTCTTGTAATGGGGCAATTTTTGGTTCCTTCATCTTCACAAACTTGGTAAAAAGTTGGAGGTATCAAACTGCCAGTCAGCATTCAACATGTAGATCAGCTGTCCCTGGTCATGTGATTTGGCTAAAATGTGGGTGAGAACCTGTACCAGGTAACCCTGGTACATCCTCATCCGTTATCCTCATCCTCATCATCACTCTCCTGGTTGGGCGTGAAGCACAAAGAAGGAAAAATGGAATAAGTGTCCTCCATAGAAGAAAACCTTGTAAATCATCCATTTAGCTTGACTGTCAGAGGGAATGCAGCACATTTTATCCTACAAGGCATACTCATCCATTGGTTCACTCACTTATCCAATGAATGATAAAATTCATCCATTTTTCCATGTCTCTCTCTCTTTTCTTCAATCCATCTTCTATTTCCCCCTGTATCTGGTCAACAGCTTGACTAGATAAATCTTCTATGTCTCTTCTGCTCTAGAACCTTTCATTTGTAAAGAACTTGCTGTCTCAGGGAAGGATATTGTTTTTTGCTTCTCTATGGATGGAGACCATATGAGGAATATCAAATCAGCAACCATGACAACTCTTGTGCTATAAAGTTAGGCAGACCATATAATGATGGCTGACATTCCTGCACAATGGGCCAGAGGTCCGTGAGCTCTGCCCCTGGTGACAGACTGGCAGACATCACTGTCTTCACACATACTTAACTCACTCAGTGTTCACAGATCCTCAAAATGGGTCATTTGCAAAGTAACTCAACCTGCCTCCACAGGTGCTGTCTCCCTTTCTTAGTCAAATCCATCTTTCCATAGAGTAAATATAGAGTACTTCCATAGAGTACCAATGTCCAGCCAACTGCTAACCTCATGTTTGAACCCAACTGCCTTTGATTTCTGAAACAATTGCTGTTTCCTTAAGGTCTCATAACAACACAAAAAGGTACATAAGAACTCTCCAGCATCACATTAGACAAATTCAAAGACCCAAAAGATGCAGCAAGTTATGTTTATTGGTAAGACGGTTGGTTCGGGTGGGATAAAATGATGTAGCATTAAAAAAGAGAATGGCGTAATCAATATGATTGTATGTGATATGGCCCACACAGGCTTCTGGTTCTGGATACTTGGACCTCAGCAGGTTTTGGAGGTTGTGGAGACCCAGAATTTAGCTGGAGGCATTGGGGTCTGATGGACAAGCCTTGATATTTCAGGACATCCTTGTACTTGGTCCCCACTGTTTACTGATTTCCTTACAGAGAACGAGCAGCCATCTACTCCTGCTGCCATGCCTTCCCCACATGAACAGAGAGAACACCCTCCATACCCAGGTTGCTTGAATCACATATGAAGGCAAAAGTCACAAACAATCTCCCACACCAGTTTAGAATTGTGATTAATAGAATGATTATTTCTTTAAAGGGGAAAAACTTACAGATCACCATCCCTGACAAATCCCTCTGCGGGATTGGGAAAAGAGACTAGTAGCCGGAAGAGAAGCTGGAAGCAAGAGATCAAGCTGAAGGTAGATGTTGCTTTTTGAAAGAGTCATAGACCACACCTCAGTGGGCTGGTATCTCAGTGGCTATTAGCTGAGGAGAGGAAGGACCTCATGCAACACACATATTTGGATATAGAAGCAAAAATGATACTAGAGTGTGAGAAAAAAAACAATTTTAGTTTATTTATTTCAGTCCTTCTGGATACATCACAGAGACAGGATCTGCTTCATGCATAAAAGTCACCGATGATTTCCCTTTAAGAAAAAGCCCACAAAACTTCCAATACCATCATCAGCATTCAATGACATGTCTATGATTGCTTTGCCTTGCCTTTGATTGTGCAGTAAATGATGCTGCTAGTTAATCTGTATAAGCAATGCAAATTTTCCTTTAACTAAATAGAAGGAATTGACATTTTATCTTAAACACATCAGGGAGTCACACTATGATGGAATGGGTTAATCATCACCAGTGTGACAGTGACATATTTAAGATCTTTCCTTTGTCTATAAATCTCAGAATTGTCAACATGAGATGTTGTCATACAGATTTCTTAGGGTTTTGTCCCACTGGTGGTTTCTTGGATTTTTGCTTTGGTATGCTTCCATAATTTTTGCCAGATCCAATCAGTTTTGCCATGCACTCTCAGCTCCACATCATTGTGTTCCCCTTTTGTTCTAGTCCAGTCATTTAGAAATCTTGCAACTGTTGTACGAGTATCTCATATTTCACCTAAATGATTTGAGGTGTTATTTAGGCTGAGTTTTATCATCCATCCATGAGTTCCTTGACTTTCCTTGGGCGTAATTCCTGGGACACTGAGCCTAACTCCTGGGGGATTCCTACAGTTACTTCTCCTTGCTGAGACAGCTTACACTCTCAGTACTACTTTGACAGTATTTCTGAAGCAAACATTCTTCTCAAGATGAGAAGAAATTTCAATATTACAATCCATTTGTTTTTATTGTGATTTAAATACACACACAAGTTAATGCACATACACAGATGATATCTCAATTTAGGGGGCCATTCTGGGGTTGTCAAGATCCTTATCTCTCGAGGGGTTCTTAGAGAGGCATGGGGTGACCCCCTCTAGGAACTTGGGCAGGTGAGGAGAGGTTGACTGCACTGTGCTGTGTCCCTAGGCACTATGGGCGCCTTGTCCCATAGTCAGACTGATGACTATCTTGAATATCACCATAAAACTTTTGTTTGGAAAATGATGGAGATCAAGTCAGGGTAAAAATCAGAAAACTAGATGGAGCTTCCAAGCTCCAGTGGAAGAGCAGACAGATGGAGAATAAGAGCAAGGATGTCAGGAATACCAGGGCTTGGTCCATACATAGAGACACTGTGCCTGAGCTAAGGGGATTTCAACTAAACTTGACTTGGAGAATTGTTAGCAGCTCCGGAAACCAAGGCTTTGCACATACTTCACCAGTGCTGCCATCAGCTCACACCAGCCACAGCCCAAGAATCTTCACCTGAAAATAAGCAAAGTGAGACCCTGGAAAGACAACTGGCTGGCTGGAGATAGCTGTCTCACCACTAAATCTGTTTTTTCAACAGATCTGGTAAAGTGTTGTTCTAACTGAGTGACTTGAAAACTAAGCATGAACAATGGCATTTTATTTTTAGCCTGATAATGATAGAAGCTTAATCCAAAACAGTAGCCTTTTAATTCTTATGTAGCCCACAGTAATGCAGTTAAGCCAGACTATTAATGGTGGCCACTTAGTCCTGCCTTTGCTGAACTTAAATATCAAAGTGTCTGGTTGTATTAAGAATCCTTCCTCCCAGGGTTTGTCTTAGACCACAGTTTAAGGCCAAGGTACAATTCAGTGAGCCAGCTTGTTTTCATATGATTCGGTCCTCAGCTTCAAAAAAAAAAAAACCTGTAAAACTGGATTTTTAAAATACTTGAAAATTTGTACTTTTATGACAAATATCTTTTGGGATCCACCACTGATCCCCAGGTTCACACATAGTATTTCCTTAAATCTAGCCTACTAAAGCATTTACTGAATACTGAAGCAGACATGCACCCAGCAAATGTTATATTCTGTTCCGTTTGCACTGCCTCAGAGAATTTTTTAGAGAGAGGAATTGCAGCTGCTTTACTGTGCACTAACAAATGGATGGGATGTGTATTGTGAGACCAGCCAACCCTTATAGTCAGGCTTAGAAGCTTTTAGTGGGTGTGAGAAGCAAGTTGAAGCTAAGAGAACATCTGTTATTTTCTTCTTTCACAGGGTTTGTCTTGTCAAACACTTTACTTCCCTAGGGCCATGTTTCCAAAGCAACCAAAACAGTGCCTACACCTTTGTGGCAAAGGTGTAAAGATACATATATGTGTTTACTGGACAGAGCCGGTTAAGGGAATCGAATCAGATTTGTGACCTCAGCTAAATCCCAAGTGATGGATATTCTCCACCCTTCCTGTCCCTGCAGGAGAGGGAGTGGGTAAGAGGACTGAAGTGAGGCTTATTGCCTGTGAGCTAAGCCTGTACTGGACTCCAACAGCCCAGGCTAGAAATCAAGTAGTCACTTAGGGCTGCTTGTCTGCAGCGGTAAACCTGGCTGGGATGTGAGGGACGGTGCTGCTGGATCCCCACCACATGTCCCTCCTAAGGGTTCTCTGACACATTTATCCAGTGCCTACAATTTGCTGGATCCAATATGAGATCTCAGGCTGGGAAAACTCAACTTTAGAAATGCTTTTGGAAATGAAGCCTTATTATGTCTGCTTGAATCTGTAGCCCACCACTGTGCTGTCTCTGCCGTTGTCACCCCCACCATCACCGGCCTCCACTGCCCCTGCCGTCTCTGCTGATAATGCACTGGGCCTTTATGCCTGCTTTTCCTCTTTGTTGGTTACCCAGAAGCCTTCAGTCTCCCCTGGCGTCCCTCACACCTTGACTCTGCTTGGATAGCCTGTTTGCATTCTCTCCTCACCAGGAATAGAAATTTTCAAGAAATACATTCCAGTTGGCTAAGTGTTACCCGAAGCATGGCTTCCATTAACAAAGCCACTTTTCTCATTCTACCGGGTGAAGGGTGCTGACAGCGTCGGGCAGTAAATTTTCAGTTGCGTCACAGCTAATTTTGGTGGTCTCACCGTGATACTATATATGCTTTTCACAGATCCCCCACTTGCTTGCTATGTTTGTCTCCACACAGATGCTAGGCAGGTGCTCTGCCGCTGAGGAACATTCCCTGGTCTTAAACCTGTGTTTATAGTGCGCTGTAAGAGTGTTTATAGACAATAGCTTGATGGTGTCTGCCCTTCACATATCTAGGCAGAGGAAGTTTTTCCTGTTAAATATTCCTGATCCCAGGAAAGCAGCTGGATATGCAATCATCGCTAGGTTTAGGAATTCTCATAGAGCTCCTTTGCCAGTAGGTTTCTCCCAGAGCCTTCTCTCTACTTTGTAGCGGCGTAAATGAATGCAGACAGATTGTAAAAATATATATAGTTTTAATGTAGAAATAGACTTACAGAACCACCGTTCCCGTGGAGACCAGGAAAGCAGAAGAGAAAGCTCGGAGCACACTCGCCAAATTTATAGGCAGACATTAGCCCGAGGCGAACACGCCCCCTAAGGGGCGGGACTTATCCCCACACTACTTTTTTTTTTTTTTAAATAGTCCGTTATTCAGCTTAGAATTTTGGTTTTGGGTTTTTCGAGACAGGTTTTCTCTATGTAGCCTTGGCTTCCTGGAACACACTCTTAGACTTAGGCTGGCCTTGAACTCCGAGACCCTCTTGCCTCAGCCTCCCCACTGCAGGGATAAAAGGCGCATACCACCACCGCTAGGTTTTAGATTACTATATTCTAAACTTGCTACATTTCCATCAAATGTCCCTTAAACTGTGATCATTAAAAGACTTTGCAAGGCCAGTGCCCTTGGAGTCGGGTCTGTGAAGCAGTAAATCCTTCTGGGATGCGGGCAAGAGAGGAGGCTTACGTGCAGGATACAGCTGAAGTGGAGGATAATGTGCCATTAGCAAACATTTTTAGGACATTGGCAGCATGGTTCGGCCCTGAGGTGAGTGCCACAGTACTCCATGGGTCCAGTGGTTTAGCTCTTCATTGACTTATGTCAACTCATTTCGTTTAGAAAAATGTAGAGATACTAGTCATTATAACCTTTTAGCCATTGCTGTTTTTAACACCACTCAGGGAATTACTGAGAGTAATTGGTATCAGCTGTGAAAGCATTGCAAAATAATACACTTCACTTAGACAGCAGGTTTTTTTTATTATGACCTCCCGTTTACCCTTTTTACTGAATTACATCTAGAACTGATTGGAGTCACAAAACAACTATTCGTCCCACTATGTGAAATGCATTCCTCCAGAAAACAGTGCATGGTTTTAGGCTATTTTGAGATTCTTGTAGAACCTGAGATAGCCAAGGACAGAAGGGCTTGGAGACTGTGTGGGGCTAACTAAGATCACCATTTGAGTCCTTGTGGTGCATTTTTTTCTGGGAAAGGAAGAAGTAGCCCGGTTTTAGAGCCCTGTACTACTGAGGGTCTTTGCCAGTCCCTCTCCCCCACCCCACCATCTGCCCCTTTATCCCTCATATTTATATAGACAGGGCCAAGTGAGTCTGATTTCCTGCCCATCAGCCACCTGCTTTGTCCACCCCACGGCTCCTGGAGTGGCCTCTTCTGCCCTTTTTTTTTGTCTTGTGCTCTCTGTCAGCTAAGGAAGATGTAGGTCTAGGCCCTGTTAAACTGCAGAGAAATAGCCATGGTTTCTCCTCTTGTGAGAGAAGAGTTGTTCTTTAAAGGCCTTTCTGAAGTTGTCCTAACTTGACATCTAACATGATGCCATGGCCACAAATCATTACTACTTTAAGCTGAGAGGAAGCAAGACATTGAATAATAGTTCCGAACTTTAAAGAACATCTTAAAAATTCACTATGTGCAAATGTAATTGCTCGAGTCCTTATGACACGGTTGATGTCTTATGATCTCTGTTTGTCTCCACAGCGATCCTGCCATGAAGCAGTTCTTGCTGTACTTGGATGAGTCCAATGCCTTGGGGAAGAAGTTCATCATTCAAGACATTGATGACACACATGTCTTTGTCATTGTGGAGCTGGTTAATGTCCTCCAGGAACGAGTAGGGGAACTGATGGACCAGAATGCCTTTTCTCTTACCCAGAAGTGAAAATGCTAGATGTTGAGCACTCGGAAATTACAAACCACAGACATGGAAGAGAGGCCTACTCAGTGTCTCATACAACACTTAGACTTTTTATGAGCATTTTGTGGGAAAGGCTGCAGAATCCTTTATTCAGACAAAAGCCCCTAAATGAATTTTTTGAACCCATAAAAATCTTTAAAGAAGAACTAACAATTGGCAGCAATTTGGATTTTAATATTCTTTATTAAACTAGTCATAATCATGCTGGTGCTACAGCTCGGTTGGTGAAGGCCCTTGCTGCCAAGCCTGACAGCCTGAATATGATCCCAGGGAAGGGAAGACCTCCACATTTGCCTCCTTCCCACACAGACAGACAAATGTAATCAGATATAATCATAAATTATTTCCCTACTTTTTTTAACACCAATTAAATACAGCAATAAAATAGTGGAGTTTGGTTAAGTTATCACTGTAACTGAGGTATTATTAATTTTGCCTATCTCTGTTAAGTGTGCATTAGAAACAAGTGGAGAAGACAAACTCTGCTTGTGTCTTCGGTTTTCCTTTGTCACACTGTGCTAGGGACATTTCCCTCTCACGTGTGCCAGTGCAGAAGATGCAGCAGAAGTACGTGTACAGTTTAGAGCCGGGGAGATAGCTGCGCTATCCTTCATATTTGGAGAGGAGGGTAGGAGAAGAGTTGCATGCGGTTGTACTCTTAGGTCGTCTGAAACTGTGATTTTATATAAGCAAAATACTTAATGGTTCAAACAAATGCACTGAGGTCAGCATTAATAGGGTAAATTTTGGGGCTGGAGAGATGGCTCAGAGGTTAAGAGCACTGACTGCCCTTCCAGAGGTCCTGAGTTCAATTCCCAGCAGCCACATGGTGGCTCACAGCCATCTGTAGTGAGATCTGGTGCCCTCTTCTGGCCAGCAAGCATACAGACAGACAGGACACTGTATACATAATGAATAAATAAATCTTTAAAAAAATAGGGTAGATTTTGTATTTTTTATCCATATGCTCTAAATCTAGCTAAATCAAGTATTACTCTCTTTATGCCTTTCAGCAGTCTGCTTAAATGTACTTTTCACAATAATGTAATTCAAAGCATAAAACAAAATTCAGGGGTGGGCATCATGGCGCACACTGTTAATCCCAGCATTCAGGAGGCAGAGGCAGATTTCTTGAGTTTGAAGCTGGCCTGGTCTATGGAGAGTTCTGGGCTAGTCAGGGTCACATAGCAAGACCCTGTCTCAGAAAACAAAAACAATCCACATGATTTCGTAGGAGATTACATTAAAAATTGGTGGCTTTAATCCCAGCACTTGGGAGATTGAGGCAGGCAGATCTCTGAGTTCAAGGCCAACCTGGTCTACATAGAAAGTTCCAGGACAACCAAAGTTACACAGAAAAAATGCTGTCTCAAAAAACAAACAAACAAACAAACAAAAAAGACCAAAAACTCACTTAAGGTGTAAGATAGGAATAAAGAGGAACAATCTTGAGGAAACAGTATATTAGGTTGACATAGATTGCATGTGGTTCTACCGCTGGCTGGCAAGAGGCACACTAATGGGGTCTTGCATCCTTAGTGATGGCCACGCCTTTGGGCTCATGATATTTCCCAGCAGGAAAGAACCTTAGTGATATCGTGTACACTGTTATCAAAACCTAGTTTCTTTTATTTTGATTGAAAGCAGCTATTTCTTTCAGTTAGCTGCACATGTGTTACAAAATCCACAAGTTGCCACAATTCACTGTGTCAATTCTCACCCATGTATATTTTTTTTATTCTTGCATTTTAATGTGAACTTCCTGATGGATTGTTACTAATATGCCTGATACTAAAATTTGCTAAACAGGAGATAGATTTAAAAAAACATGTTTTGTTTTTTTTTTAAGATTGATTTATTATGTATACAAAATTCTGCCTCCATGTATGCCTGCATGCCAGAAGAGGGCGCCAGATCTCATTACAGATGGTCTTGAGCCACCATGTGGTTGCTGGGGATTGAACTCAGGTCCTCTGGAAGAGCAGCCAGTGCTCCTAACCACTGAGCCATCTCTCCAGCCCCAGAGATAGATTTTTTTCCTAGAATTTTGAGTTGTATTGGAACACTACTGAATTTTGTATTTCAGTCATTCCTCAAACAATCAGTTCAGTTTTTAATATGCCTCAAGTGTTTATCACCAATGCCATTTATTTTAAAGCAGATGACTTAGGATCTCAGACTCGGAAGAAGGTGGAGAAAACAAGTGAGCAAGGACAGCTAAGGTGATTGAAAAGAGAATATCTCACCAGTTATTAAAATGCACAGGCTGTTTGTGTGGACACTTGGGAAAGATGGGATCAATAACTGAAAGTCCGTGCAGCTGCTTAGTTGACTCAGCCAACGACAAGCAAAGAGGCCATTCTCAGGTGGCCTTTGCCTGGGCTCTGACTCTTGTAATCTGGTTGACATTATTTGATTTGATGTACTTTAGAAATACCAATGACTCAACTACTGGAGAAGTTGACTGGCTGGCTTTACCTTCACCACAGTCCCGGATATGCGGAGACAATGGTAATGTGAAGGGATCTGTCTGTCCATCCTTACTCAAAATGGGGTCTCACTGTGTAGCCCTGATTGTCCTGGAACTCACAGAGATCTGCCTCCCTCTGCCTTGCTAGTACTGAGGTTAAAGGCGTACCACCACACTTGAGCCCAGATTTTCTTCTGTGGTTAGTTATCTTAAAATTCAGGGACTCTGAGTAGTCCTTATAGTTGATATAAATGTATATGTTGAGAAGTCAGTTTTTGTCAACAGTAACAGCAGTACTGATTATAGCTAACAAGGACTCTGTCCTCAAAGTCTGATACACTACAGGTTATAGCCAAAATTATTCATGAGAGTTGAGGATGTACTTCCACGGTAGGACCTCTGTCTAGTATACCTGTGGTCTTGGGCTCAATCCCCAACACCACCAAAACTTAATACTCTTATTATTAGCACTAGTTGTAACAGGTATTTTGATATAATTCTGCTTTTTCTCTGGGAAGGTGGCAAATAGACCGTGCTTCACTGTGTAGCTGGTTATTAAACCTACTCAACTGGAAGGGCTGGGGCCTACTTAGTTCATTTGTAGAAGTAACCATTAATCTGAGTGTGTAAAACACCGACGGTGTTAGTGAAACACATCTGGTGTGTTGGATGGCATTTCCAGAGAAAACCAGACCAGGAGGCTCTGGTGCAGTATATGGATTATTAGTGGGATGATGGTGTTATTAGGAGAAGTAGGTCACTGAAAGCATGTCCTTGGATTTGTGTCTGCCCTGGTCTCTTCTGGATTCCCTTTGTCCCTGCTTTCTTCCAGTGTGAAGTGAAGAACACCCTCACCCTTGTGTTCCTGCTACCAAGATCTGCTCAAGTGCAGGGGGCCAGAGAGACGGCAAGCTGAGCCCGAAACCAGCAGCTCAGATCTCTTCCCTTTAAGTTGCTCTCTCTATACTAGGTCCTAACAACACAGAAGTAACACTGAAAGATCTGAAGTGGCTGCTGATTGATCTCTTAGAAAGCCACTGTCATTGAGGCTGGGTTCCCAGTTTAGGGGTAGAGCACTTGTCTAGCATGAACAAGGCTCTGGGTCCCGACTCCGCCACTGCAGGGAAAGATCCCAGCTGACAAGATAGGGAAGTTACCAGCACCGCTGGTGGAATGCTGAGATCTTGGGCATGTTATTGTTTTCTATGCCTCAAGAAACCAAGGGAAAGAGATGTTGGCTCCCAAGAACATCCCCAGCTTCTGTGCTGTGTGCATTACAGAGCAAGTGAGGGAAGAGCTGGTGAAGAAGATAGCTGTGGAGTCGAGACCACTGCCATCAGGGAGCTGGTGAGTGACATTCAGAGGCTGCTACTGTTTTTGCCAGTTATAGCGAGATCGGGACATTTTTTTCATTGCCTTCACACACTTACTCGGTCTACTCTGGACTTTATTCTTTCTTTTGTGATTTTTCAAGACAGGGTTTCTCTGTGTAGCCCTGGCTGTCCTTGAATTCTTTTGTAGACTAGGCTGGCCCCGAACACCACACACCTCTGCCTTCCAGTGCTGGAATTAAAGGCATGTACCACCACCCCTCATCTCCTAGCCTGCAGATTTTAATCTTGTGAAGATTTATTTTTTTTTTTATTTTTAGGAAGTCAGTATTATTCTGATACTAAAATGAGACAACCAACAAACAAAAAACAAAAAATTTTAGGACATTATCTTTGGTGAACACAAGATTTCTAAATAAGATATTTCTAGACATAAAAGTTCTAAATAAAATATTTGCAACCTGTATTTAAGAACTCTTTACTGAAATAAGTTAAAAGATTACTGGAATAATCAAATCAACTTCATCCCAGAGATATAGGGATTGGTCAACACACATAAATCACACATATAGACTAAAGAACAGATATTGCATGATTTTTATCTACAAATGCATAAAAGACTTTTATTAAAATCTGACTTCTATTCATGACAAAAGTTCCGGAGAGACTAGAGATACAAGAGATATGCCTTAATACGATAAAAGCAACATACAGGAATGTGGTGATATTTTGTTTATGATTCTAACAAATAAAGCTTGCCAGAAGATCAGAGTGTGGATCTATCCACTAGTTAGCCATAGAGACCAGGCCGCGGTGGCACACACCTTTAATACAAGGTGTGGAGGCAGAGGCAGATGGACCTTTGTGAGTTCAAGGCCACCCTGGGCTACACTGGATTGAGCCAATACAAAAGAGAAATAGAGTCAGTGACTCACACCTTTAATCCCAGTACTTGGGAGTCACACCTTTAATTCCAACATGAAGGAGGTAGAGACAGGAAGGGATAAGGCTGGGTGAAGAGAAAAATATAAGGCAGGAGGAGACATCAGAAGAAGACTTAGGTGAGCACACATGCAAATGTAGGTGTGTGTGCCTGTGAACACACATGTAGAGGCCAGAAGAGGAAGGAGGGTGTCTTCCCTTATCACTTTGCCTTATTCTCATAAAAACGAGTCTCTGACTGAATGAGTTTGGGTATTTGGGCTACACTGACTGGGCAGCAAGCTTATGGGATCTACCCATTGCCATCCCCTAATGCTGAGGTTATTGGAATGTACTGCTACGCCTGGCACTTTATTTATTGTTTGTTTATTTATTGTAATGTGGGTGATAGAGCTAGGGA